AGCCCAGCCCCTGGCCCCCAAGCCCCTGTGACCACCCCAGCCCTCACCCCACACTCACAGGATGTACATGATGACGCCAATGGCCCAGCAGTCCACCGGCCGCCCATACCGCTGCCGCCCCACCACCTCTGGAGCTACAAGGGACAGAAGAGTGACCCTGCCCCCGAGTCCCCAGCCACCTGGCCCCTTGGCCGCAGGGTGATGGGGAGCAGGAGGGACACACTGGGAGCACCCAGCATCAGCCCCCAGGGTGATGGAGAATGGGAGTGACCTGCCAGGGCACCCATGACCATTAGGAGTGACCCAGTGGGAGCCACCAGGACCAGTCCCCAGGGTGATGGGGAATGGGAGAGACATGCCAGGGCACCCATGACCATCAGGAATGACTCAATGGGAGCCCCCGGGGTGGTGAGGAGCAGCAGGCATCTGCTGGAACTCCAGGAGCACTACATGCCCACCCGGCTGGCTCTCACCCACCTAGGTACTCGGGGGTGCCACAGGGCTCCTTGATGAGCCCGTTCTCCAGCTTGGCCAGGTGGAAGTCACTGATGACGATCTTGGAGTTCTTCAGGCGGTTATAGTACACCAGGTTCTCCAGCTGCCAGAGCAGGGGTTGTGAGCACCAGGGTGGGGGACGTGGCAGCACCCATGGGTGCTCCTACCCCCCTGCCACACACCTTGAGATTCCTGTGAACGATCTTGAGCGAATGCAGGTAGGCAACAGCTTCCAGCACCTGCCTGATGACGTTACTGGTATCCTTCTCTGAATAGTAGCCTTGGTCCAGGATCCAGTCGAAGACCTCCCGGCCAGTGGCCCTGCAAACAGCATCTCTGCCAAGGACCCCCTGGTGGAATCACCCCTCACACCCCCTGCATGTCTCAAACTTACAGCTCCAGGAAGATAAAATACTCCTTGCGGGTGATGTAGACATCCACCAGCTGTAGGATGTTTGGGTGCTTCACCCTGCAGAGAGACAAGGCCATGGGTGGAGGTCCACACTTTGCCGAGCAGCACAGGAGCCTCCCCAGCCCCAGCACTCACATTTTGAGGATGATGATCTCATTTTTGGCTGCCTTCCGCACTTTCCGCCCATCCCTCTTCAGAAACTTTTTGCAGGTGTACAGCTTCCCTGTCGTCTTCTCCTTGGCCCGGAAAATTTCACAGAACTCCTCCCTGTAAGGGTACCCCCAGCCATCACCCCCTTCCTGAGTACCACTGAGCTTAGGGTGCTCAGATGGTCCTTGGGCCCACACCAGCATCCCCCTCCCCCATCCCATCCGTCAGGGGAGATGCCACAGAGGTGGAAGGAAGCTGTTGCCAAAAACCTCTTTGGAACAGAAGGAAAGAAAAAAACAGTAATGAGAAGGAACTCAGTGGAATAAGGAAATTGACAGGGGAGGGGAATATCTGCTGGTTAAAAAGCCCCTTCCTGATGACAGCTGGGGTAAGACCTCTTGCGAAGCTACCCATGCCGAGGCGGAACAGCAGCACTTTCCGACATTTATGTCAGTGCTGCGATCGGGGAGAAAGAAGGGGAGATGCGCCAGTAGTTGCAGTGTTTCTGTTCTATTATTAATGGTGCTCCAGCCCACTGGCCAGGCCAAAGCCATGGGGGAGCTCCTGGGGGGCCCTTGGCACTGCTCTGGCAAAGCCTTTGGCTTTCCAGTCTCCCTGGGTGTGCTGAAATCCTTGTGGCCACTGCCCTGGGTGGGGGGGAATTGGGACCTGTGGGCTTTGGGACAGGCCGCCCAGAGGATGGAGCAAAGATCTGAGGGCACCAAGGTTCTCGCTGTCACCCAGGTCACCCTGCCCAGCATGACCTATGGTCAAGTGAGTGTTTTGGAAGCTGATGGAAAAACTTCTGGTGCATATTTTGGGGTCAGACTGCTCTTAACAGATTTGAGGGCTTCATTTTTTGGAGTGTATCCTAATGGGTCCCCTAGCACATCAATAAAAGTTGGGGGAAGCAGCAGTGCTCTGCTCCCCCCCACAAAAGACATCTGCCTTGCCTTTGCTGGAGAAGATCCCTCCTGCTTCCCAAAGCACTCGGGGGAGCCAGGACCATGCAGAGTTGCTGCAATCTCAGCAAATCTTGCAGGGAAGAGGAAGGGATATGGGGAGCTGCCCAGCTGCAGCCAGCAGCAGTGGGGAAAGCTTGCTGCCCTCCTTGGAGCCAGCTATCAATACCTCCATGCATCCACAAGCAAGAGGAACTAATTAGGGGACAGTCATCCCAAAACGCATCCTGCCTGGCCCAGCTGGGGACCAGCACCCCGAGAATTCCCATGGGCAGCATCATGCCACTACTCAGCCCGAGCATGCAGGCATTGGGGTCCCCGAGGCATCCTCAGGGACCAACTCACGTTTTGATGACCTGGCCCAGGTCATATCTGTCAGTCACCTCAGACGGCTGGTTATAATCTTTCTTGTCTCCCAGTGTCACGCAGCCAAACGGCATTGCAGGGCCCGGTGCTGGCAGGGCAGGGAGAGGCGGTGAGTGCCCTGGCACCACCAGGACCCTGGACCCACACCAGACCCGCCCCAAGCTGCGCTAATTAACGTAAAACCTGACGAAGCACAGCAGCTGCCTGTGGTCCCTGGCTGCCGCAAGCCACCATGTGCCCAGACCCACCGATGTGCATCCATCCCCATGGCATCCAGCCTCTCTGCCTGGGCTCAGAGGGCCATTTTTTTCAGCCACAGGCCAGCCCCTCTGGGCCCTGTTTGTGGATTGCTAATAATTAATTAGCAGCCAGGGCTTGCACAGGACCCTGAACACCCACTGGGGAGGTAAGCAGAGAGGAACAGACTCTCCCATTTCTCAGCACAGTTTTGCCTCATGGTGATATTTTTGTAGCCATGGGCTCCCCAGGCAGAGCATCACCACACGTTGTCACATGTGGAGTGGGTTACACTGGCCGCAGCTCCCCATTCCTTACCAGCCCTGACTGTGGCACCCTTGCACAGGACCCTGAACACCCACTGGGGAGGTAAGCAGAGAGGAACAGACTCTCCCATTTCTCAGCACAGTTTTGCCTCATGGTGATATTTTTGTAGCCATGGGCTCCCCAGGCAGAGCATCACCACACGTTGTCACATGTGGAGTGGGTTACACTGGCCGCAGCTCCCCATTCCTTACCAGCCCTGACTGTGGCACCAGGCAGCACTGCAGTTCAGTTCGGAGGCCCCCCTGCCGGTAGCAGGCAGGACACTGGCCCCAGCATGCACCAGCTGCTTGGGCTCTTTAGAAAAGATGATTTGCCCCTTCCTTTCCTGCTGGGAACCCTTCAAACCCAGATCCTTCTTGGAAACTTCCCAGACAAAAAATTGGTTGCATAAAGTGATTTTTCTCTATCTTACCCTACTACCAGGAGGAAGTTTCGGCTGACATTATTTTCTGATGGCTCAGAAGGTGACAGGGCTGCCTGGGTCCCCCCAGCCATCTCAGGTGGGCCTGAGTGGGACCTTGTGATGGGATGCTGGCACACTGCTGGAGGCACCCATCACCTGGTGCTAAAGCTCCCCAAACACCATGCTGTGCCAGCCTGGCTGTGCCATACTGGCAGTGCCCAGGGCCCGCAAGGGTTGCGGGCAGGATGGCAGTGCGGGATGCGGGATTCAGCCGGCATCGTGGATACCCAAGCACCGAGCCTGTTGCTATGGCAATGGGAACTGAAGATGCAGAAAGCAGCACATCCTTCGGAGGGGGCAGGGATGGGCAGCACCTGACCCACCTGCAGGTGCACAGCCCCGTCTCTGCTGTGCAGGCCTCAGGAGGAAGGTGGTCCTGCACGCAGCACCCAGGGCATGCACCAAAGCGCTCCCTGGGGTGACTGACCTAAAACTGTGTGGGATGTGGGTGCGGTGACATGGAGAACGGGGGTGATGCTCCTTCCTGTCTCCATCCCTTGGGGCTGACCTGCTTCCATGCCTGCCTGAGTGATGCCCAGAGGATAGGTGCTCCCAGCTTGCACAACATCCAGACACCCTCCTGCCGGGAAAGCCTGCACTGGGTAAGAGCACCTGCCCCTGTTCTGCTCAGCCTGCACCAAGTCCCAAAGGAGAAGCAGAGCACCCATGGGACACTCCTGCCCATGCCACAGACTGAGTGAGGCTTTCCAACCCACGCTTGACTCATCATACCAACCTCCCCAGCAAACATGCCCTGCCTGGCACCTCTGTGTCCTCATGCCACATGATGCCAGCTCTTCTGTGCCACTGTGCCTGGCTGAGGGGTACAAGGGCTGTCCTGACAGCTGCTGGCATGGCGGGGGGCTTGATACCACAGACTGGCAGGGGGAGAGGTGGCGGCCCCGCTGCCAGCACTGGCAGCACGATACCAGGATTAGCTGGGAAGGGGACCCAGGCAGCATGATATATCGCAATTTTATCGCTGTCTCTGCGAGCGCTCAGCTAATCTGCACTCATAAAATTAGTTCCCGTTGGTTTAGTGGGGACTCATCCAGGGCTGAGCACCAGCACCCTCCCCTGCCCCAGCCTGACTTTGAGGGGACTCAGCACAGCACACCTGGGGTACCCTGCAAGGGAGGCGAGCACTCAGCCCCACATCAGCGCCAGCACCTGTGCCCCACAGGTGACAGCACACCTGCCATGGCAGGACCACCCAGGCAAAGGGAGGGCGAAGGGG